GGGGGGCGCAAACAATCATTTAAAAGACAAATGTCTATGTATAGGGGGGATGAATGAAGTCAGATTAAATATGGGGGGGGCTCCTTTTCCCCCAGTTCCTACGCCCCGGCAGACAGTATAAAGATGGAAGGGAAACGTCTGGAAAGGCGTCCAGGTGAAGCGTGGGCGCCAGCTGGCGGGGCACTTACCGCTCCGCACAAACACACCGGGACGCGGCGGGACCCAGGAATGCGGCGGGACCCAATTCCGCCTTTTCACTACCAGCTCACGCTATTTATTTTGCCCAGATTACCATCAATGAAAAGATAAAATGAGCCACCACACCTCCCCCCCCCCCATCCATGAGGAGCCTGAGGCTATTTCCACTACCCCCACCGCTCTGGCCCCAGCGACGCTTGGCCCCCACGTCCCAGAGCTACATTTCATGGGCCAGGTTTCCCCTAAACGCCAAACCAGAGGGGGACTACAACAGGGGCCCCGTTTACAATTACAGCTGATTTACTGAGCCGTGAAACACCTACTGATATCATATGGAGCCCGCAAGCCCAGGCCTGGAATGATGTCTTCTGTAAGAAAGCGATGGTTTTTAAGTTAAAAGTTAAGTTAAGTTTGGCTGGCTCAGGACCCATTTCTACTTGGGGGGGAAAAAAAATAGTTTAAACGAACCCCAAAATTTCATAGTTATTTCAAGTTAACCTGCAAGATCACTGCCTGGGTCGACCCATGAGATGGGATCATGCCACGCTTAGGCATCTACTAAACTTTATGCTCATACCTTCATTTGTGCATCTTCAAAACTCCTTGTATTCTACACCTTTATTTACATGCCTGCATGTTTGTTTGTTTATTTATTTATTTATTAATAGCACAACTTTTCTCTCTCCCTCTCTTGTATTTTTATATTTTTTATATATGTTTTTGTGTCAGTGCCAGAACCCAAACAAATTCCTTGTATTTTTTTTTTTTTTTATACATGGCAAACGAAAGGATTCCGATTCTGATCCTGATCCAGGGCCCTAAATCCCGAAGTGACGGAGCATGTGTAACGAACCCCCGTTGAAATGCGTACCGGAATCCCGTTTCTGTGTCGATGATGCTCCCCGGACCGGAGTAGGCGTGCATCCTCTCCTCCTGACAGACATCCGGACTCGGCTTCTCCTTGTTGAAGTTCACGACTTTCACTGGTGAGGACAAAAGTTCGAGACGAAGAGTTAGCGGCGCGGCTAACGCGCTCACCTCCGGTTGGCCGGAAGAGGCGAAAACACGTCACGCCAAGACGAGACAGCTAGCCAACCGGCAAGCCAGCGCAGCGAACATCTGCTTCAGAGACACACCTACAGCGTATTCTCACAGCTCCGTGGTTCACCGTGCGACGGCGTGAAGAACAAGCAGTTCTTGTCGTTGAGGCACCCTGCTGTTAAAATGATCGTTTACATCAACAGCTGATTAATTAAAGGTGCAGCACCAGGTTTAGGTTTCGTGACGGATGAGGTATTGCTGTCGCTGTGGGCTGGAGTGGCAGGGGTCACTTTCCCCAGGTGACCCAGGGTCCCGAGCCCCCCCCACCTTGGGACCACCTGCCCCCTGCCCCCAGTGTGGCGATTTCACGCTGCTGATTAAAGGGAAGCAATTAAGAGACATCAGATCCTGGATTGCTCCTATCAAACAGTGGGCTGTAAAATCATTAGAGGACCACCTCTGGATCAGCGCCTGGTGGCTGACTCCGCCCCCTGCCCTCAGAACAGGGCCGGTGGGGTCACAAGGTGGGGGCAGGGGGTGAGAGGCCATTATTGCCCAGTGGGTCTTTGCCCTCTGAACTTCAGTGTTCAGAATTACCCAGCCCCCCGTGTGGAATTCCTGGATATGAATTTGCCTTCTCCTGATACGATCCCACACATCTCATAAAACGGTAAACGATATCAGCTTCAGAAAATGATGGTGCGGGATTCAGCTCATTAATGCTGACGGCCGAAGCGTACGCACTGATCTCCAAGTCGTTTTTCCATACCCATAGTACAGATTTTTTCCCTTGCCATGCATAGAAATTGCATGAAATGGCACTGCGGTGCAGGGAGAGGAGGAGAAAATGGACTCCGACGTACGAACCTTCGGTGCTAAAGGACTAATCAGCGCGACGGTTCATCGAGGCGCCGGGGGTGAGGATGGGAGTTGGAGTCCTGCTAAGTGATAGGCCGGCGGCCTGAGGCAGGGTCCGTAAGCCACGCTGGACGGCAGCATCCGGGAATCAATCACCAGATTTTCCCCCAGGGATCTATAAGGTCAATCTTACTCTTAATTACTAATACATCTTTTAAAATGGGTTAAAATGTTTTTCTTGGGGGGGGGTCGGCCTTTCAGCCAGACTCAGTGCTGGGGGGGTTGTAAAAAAAATGCCAAGTGTACAGAAAACACAGGAAATCGCCCAAGAAACAATGGACTGGCAACCCTAACCCCCCAATAAGGCCATTTAAGTCCCATCTTATGAAATTCTTTGATCTTACACTTATAAGCGGGGCACTGCGGCGAAGAGCAGTTTTTAAATCCCACCCCTGCAGGCTGGGGCCCAGTGGGCCGGCCCGATCGATAGCGGCGGGACTCACGAGGAAACACAAGAGCTGCGATATCCTGCACTTACGGCCTCCGCCTTCAACACTTTTAATGTCTTCACACCGCGCCTCATTCACGTTGAGGCCCAAAGCTCCCACACCCCCCCCTCCCCAGCTACCTGAGTGACAGTAACCCCCCAGGACAAAGGAAAACCCTCTGCTTTAGAAGGGAGCTGAGATACTCGGAGGGAAAGTGACAAACACATATAATTAGAAGCACAATGTGCATGTATGTATTAACATACATACACACATATATATGTTTGTAGGTATACAT